GAAAGTAATTTATTAATATTATAGTAACTTTAGTATTAATAAATAATCTGATGTATATATTTTATATATTTATATAATAAGGATATACATATATTTTATACGTAACATGTTTTAAGTTACCTTTTTAATATTATGGTAACTTTAGTATAAATAAATAATCTGATGTATATATTTTATTTATTTAATAAGGATACAGATAGATTTTAAGTTACTTATTAATATTATGGTAACTTTAGTATTAATAAATAATATAATGTATACATTTTATTTAATTAATAAGGATATATATAGATTATATACGTAACATATTTTAAATTACCTTTTTAATATTTTCATTTTTTTATTTTTCTTTATTAAGTTGACTTGGATTAGGAAAAGGAATAGGATTATTATTTAGCCTATAAATATACAACTATAGGTTAAAAAAGGAGTGAAAATATATTACGTAATATATTATAAAGAGAGAGAGTTAGAGAGAGAAGGAGAAAGAGGAAGGAATGAGGAGAAAACCCTTTAGAGAGAAGATCAAGGAAGAAGAAGTTTAACTTTCAATCCGAAAGTTTAAGGCAAGTTCTTCTTCTATCTCTTTCCCTTTGATTCGTGTTTCTGTACATGCCTAGGAAATTCCATGATTTATTAAACACATAAAATTAAATAATTATACATGTTTAATTGGGTTAGAATATAGATTTTATGAAATTAGTTCATATTTGTTCTTGTGTTATGAATTGATAAAATGCATGATTTTGATTTGATTTCTTATGTGAATTTTTACATGTTTAAATTATGTATTTTTCATATCTGTGGAATGATGGAACGTAGAAACATGCCTAGGATTCCTGAACATTAAATAGGGACTTGGGTTTTAATAAATTTAAATAGACTCAATCATAATGATGCTTACTATTTGAATGTTTTAAACAAACGAATGGATTTAATCTTTTAAAATATTTTAGCAATTAAGATTAAATGTGTAGGATGAATTGGATATAGAGAATCCTTATTTAACAGTATAATAAAATATCATCATGTATAAGATTCAGTTTGCGTAGGACATATGATATAGGAAGTTTAAAGAAATAATAAGTCATTCCTATTATGTGATAACTTGATATCATATTTCTCATAGTTATTTATGGAATGTTTGATGTATTTCCTTAATTATTACACCAATTGTTAGATTGTGTGGTTTAATGCACCGGTATAGGACGGTAACATTCTAGGGATGGATTAACTTATCAGTTAAGTACTACCTATTTTATATAAGGGAATGGATTAACTAAAATGTTAAGTCCTACTTATATTTAAGTCAGGTCAGCTGAACAAGTTGAATGACTTATGGAGGATTAATTTATTATATAAGGGAATGGATTAACTAAAATGTTAAGTCCTACTTATATTCAAGTTAGGTCAGCTGAACAAGTTGAATGACTTATGGAGGATTAATTTATACTGGATAGGATGGTTACTAGATTTTATATATATAAGTATGGTGCCATGATATGAGCTTGAGTCTCAGAATTAATGGTTAGGGCGCGTATATCGCCAGGGATGTGTAGCTAGATATAGTGTAGTTGTGTACCCTGGTAGGTCTAGGTACTCATGCCCACTATATGTGCGTTTTGCATGTTGCCTACTATTCAGGTTGAGACAACCCTATAGTCTAGTGAGGTTCCTTTAGTGTGTATATATATATATACGGACTACTAGTTACTGTTGGATTGACTATGATGTATACGTGTATCGGATCTCTGCTTGGACTGTAGTAGAGTAGAACTTGTTTGTGGGCCTGACCCACCATTATTTTTCAGGTGTTCGTCACGAGTAGAGGTTGTTCGTGCTGAGCGGGGATCAGTCTACTTCATTCTTCTGATGCTACATAGGAGTTCCTTTATGATTCAGTTTCCTGATTTAGATAGTTATTGCCGTCATTTGTTTAGTTTGGATTTTCTAGGGGTCCACACAGTATGGATTCCCGAGTTGTATTTTGGAGGATCAGTTGTATCAGAAGAGTTTATTAATTAATGGAAATATATTATGAGGTTTATTATTAGATTATCATTTTAGTTTCTTGTCAGCATTTTATTTATTCTTCTTTATTCTTTTGTATTCTGTGTTCGTTTATTATCAATTTGTTTTGATATCCTCGGGTATTCGGGCGTAGGCCTGGCCAACCCGCATTCGGAAATCCGGGGGTATCACACTAGGTTCAAAGGGACAACAGAAATTCTGAGTGACTCACCAGAAGCACTGGGAAGATATAAATCTTCTGCCCATTTCTATGATGAGACAGTGCTACATACAGCGAGGATTAGGATAAGCTACGCTTTTAATGACTCTTATACCTTGAAAATTCAAGTGGGGTATGGTAGGATACTCTTAATAAGAAATCACCTATATGAGTGTGAAGTAGGGCCGCTTCTATGAGAATTATAAATGGCTAAGTTTTTTGGAGCACTTATTGAATACCAGGAGTTGTTCGGGGCCAAAATGAACACAACAATGAGAACCAACTTTGTGAGGAAAGGTACTGTGTGTTTGTTATTGTCTTGATTTACACAAACGGCTGAATAGTTCAAAACATCGCGTTCACTGGTTAGCTAGTAAATTCGATAGCAATACACTAGGGAAGGTTTAAAGTCAAAAACTACATATCCTGATGCAGTAACTTTCTAACTATACTCTCTCTAGTGTCTGCACGATCATCTTTTGCATTTTACACAAATTTCCATTCATGTGGGGGATTGTTGGAAACGGAGACATTAAAAACATAAACTTTGGATGAGGTTTGGAATAGATAGTGAGAAATAGGGATTTAAGAGATATGAAGAGAGGTCTTAGGGCGTTGGAATCACCACTAAGCTCATGTAATTAACCACTTGCTTTCCATTTATGGGGAATACATTGTTGTGAACAAAATGCGACTACCAATTACAATATTAAGTATGGACCATCAAATTCATGTATGAATTGTTTACCTAACCAACAAATAAATTAAGTGTAGCACAACCCATCAATTCTAAGCATGACCCATCAAATTAGTAACAATTGTAACACACATCAATCTAGAGAATCATGGAATTTGCAATAATAAGCCATGGAATATCAAATCAAGTATAGATTGTCTACCTACTTACAAACATGAATTAAATTGTAGAACAATCCATCAAGTATAAGAATAATCTATCAAATTAATTAACAAATCCATTTAATGAAAACCCATGCTTAGCCATCACTAAATCCTTAATTAATCACACATAAACATGTAACCAACATAGAGAGTCTAGTATAGAGATTAATTTTCAAATAATCACACATAAGATAACATGTAATCAAATAGAGAATCAATAGAAGGTAGATAATATTTCTATTTAATATTGTTGTGTTATTTTTAAATTAGAGTCTTCAAGTCAATTTGACTACGTTTGAAGATAGAATACTTGTTTCCTCCTCCTCCTACTTCTCGGAATCAGCATTACTAAGCGCGCTGGTTTTCCAGAAATTAACCTACTATGCGTAATTTGTTTTGCAGAAATTAACTTGTGAACAAGGATATGAAATTTTACCTCCACAGTTTATGTGAGAGTAAAAGTTTTGTTTTTAATTGATTCATAATTGGATTTGAAGTGTCCCCCATTATTATTATAATTATTTTTTGATTTAAGCCATTTAAATAATTTATTTTAAACTTAAAGTGAGATTCAATTAATTAGTCCTTGTATTTATTTTTTGGTAAATAATTAATAATCACTGGTTGTAGACCAAATGAAATGAAGCGAAGCTTGAATTATGATGGGTCCAAATTGGGAATAGACACTAGTATGAACAAGCTAGAAAGGGTCCGACAAGGCTCAGCAGCTTGTCAAAGCAAGTAGAGGAATACATCTTCTTCACTCCATCTGCAGATAGGCATTGATTTGTCGTATAGGAATGCTAATCAATATTGGGATTCCTAAACTATACAACAAATCTACATCCATGACTAGTATTTTTACAAAATGATGGATGGTGTTCTTCACAAATGTCGCTTTCTTCATCTGCTCTACTGTCTACCCATACCCATATCATATGTCAAGCTTGACGTACTCTTAAAACATTCACATGTGTTGGTGATACATTGGTTACAATACATGGGTTTAAGGTGATGATGGACAATGTTATTGTCTTGGGGCTTGGATGTCTTTGCCCAACTTGGAATTGACGTCTCAGCTGACAGTACGTGTTAGATGGGAGTTAGGACATGATCCTAATTAATACATGGAGACATGAAATGAATGGATCAAGACATTATAAGTGGCATGTTCCATGTTTCTCAATTAATTTTCTTCTCATAAAACTTCAATGCCACAAAGTTTATGTGGTTAATTTAGCAATTTACATGTCTTTTCAATATATATTCTGAAAATTAAGTTATATTTATGTAAAGAGAGTATGAAATGAAACGGTAGAATAAAATGCTGAACTTTGTTATTGAATTATAAACATGTTTAATTTGAAAGAGAGCATTATTATGATCACAGAGTTAAACACCTAATTTGTATGGTGAGTGTCATTTGATTTTTATTATTATTGTTTTTCTTCTTTAAATGATTTATTAATCGGATAAATTTCATTTACCTCTTTTAAAATTTGCTAATATTTCTTATAATTTATATTTTATAATTCTACTTATGTCTTATGAGATTCTGATTTATATCACATATATTTTATGTCACATATTCTCTTTATGCTTAGGCACCTGACAAAGAGAAACAAAATACCTAATGTCTAAAAGGACAACAAACTTTTTATGAGGAAAAAAGTAAAATAACACATTTACCCTTGTAAATTTCTCATTTAGCTGTCTTCCATGATTTTGTGGGTCTACTTTGCTGCTTTTATGGGTCTAGTTTTGGGGGTGTTGCCCACTGTCTAGCCCAACGCTAAAATACCCATTTTAAAGAAAAACAGTCAGTCCCAAGGTACGAATGTCATTGGTTTAACATTTATTTCTCAAATAGGTGGGCCTATCCAATTCCATGGTTCGTGGGTGTAGTTTTTTTTTTTTTTTTTTGTTCGTCCAAGTCTATTAACCAAACTACACATTGAAGGCCACAACCAGTCCATCATTTACTTCCCTCCTTGACTCCTTGGTTTAAATGACCGTTGCAGATCCAGCCAGCGCCACAATAACCGCCAAGCCACTTCTTTTATCTGGTCAATACAAATGATGACTCTCCCTCCCTCCCTCTCTCTCTCTCTCTATATATATATGTGTGTGTGTATAAATGAGAAGAACGATGGTTTGTTTCTGTTTTATTCAAAGTCAAATTCATCTTAATATGAAGCGTCAATTTTGTACACGCATTTCTCCTCTGCAAAACCAACCTCCACAATCAACGTAAGTTGTTGTATCTTATGAATTGTTGAGTTCCATATGGGTGTTGTTTTATGAATTAAGTTCTCGTACTCTTTGTTGATAATGTATCTGATTGTTCATGTTCTGCTTGATAATATGTATCGCTGAGCATTTCAGAAACGGCATTAAATTGGTAAAAAAACTAAAATCATCGAATGCCTTGGCTAAAAGTGATTTTAGCAAATTCCATATTAACAACTGAGTGCGAATCAAAATTAAGAGAAAGGGTTTTGATTTCTTATTATAATTTATAACATGGTCTACAATGTTTAAGCATTATGGAACTTCTAGCAGGCTGGTTTCACCTAATCAACTAGGCCTTGCGGATACACGGACATAAAACTATTTGCACTTTTGATCCGTAGCTTTACATTATCATTGAATTATCAATTAGGGTATTATTTTGAAAATATGTAAACCCCAATCTTGAACTCAAACACAACTACTTGGAATTTCTAAATCCACGAGGGTTTGTGCAATTTTTTTAAGGTTTGCATCTTGAAAAAATTAATTAGGTCAATTTGATGGGTTTAAAAAAAGATTCTAATGAAGCTGCATTACATTTTCAAACCATTTCTAAAACAACGACGACTTCATTCTCACTGGAAGTTCATTTGTGAAACATTTGAAATCAAAGAGTTCAATCTCAACTGCTATCGTATTCTTTTCTTCTTTTTCTTTCTTTTCTAATTTTTTATTTATTTTTCTGTTTTCTTTTATTGTAAATCGTCCACTTCTTTATTCTATTTTTAATGGAATTAGTAATTTTCTACAGATAGGTTCAATCTCTTCCTTAAGATCTCCTTCAGATTGATCAGTCAATGGATCAAACTTCACAGCTGACTAACCAAATTGCAAACAACGAAGACTCTAATACAGATTATCAGTCAGATTCAGGACATACATTGCTTCATGAAAGATCAAGTCCAAGTAATTATAGTACTTCAATCATCTCTAGGAGGAGTCCACTGCCACTATCAGGAGCCACAAGAGGAATTAGTAACAGAGGCATTGCTGAAACTTCAAACCTCTCGTCAGCAGATACAACTGAGCATATCAGAAACACTGATTCGGGTGCATCAGGTGTTCCTAATCCTAGGAATTACACCACATTGTCTCTCAACCCAGTTCTTGATTGCCATTTTCCTCCTCCTCGAATGACTTATGCATTACAATATATTCTACAGAGGCCTTTACTGCCTGCCTCCAGGTTCATCGCTTGGAATGGAAGTTCTGCACATCAAGTCCATAGCCAACCTCCTGCTTCATCAGACGAGATTTGGTCTCAGGATGAGACTGATCATATTAGGCGGCAATATGAGGAATCAATTCTCTGTATGCTTAGGGTACCTGATGATTCATTAGAAGGGTCAATGGCATTAACAATCTTGCCAGCTGGCAATGGAGTGAATCTCAGACTTGTATCGGAGGTTTAGCTTTCTTGATGAAGTCTTCCTGTGAAAAATTTGATATTTGGTTTGAATCTCCTTGACAATTTTGTTTTAGTATGTAGATATGGTTAGGGGTGAGGGCGAACCTTGGCGCAACGATATGGTTGCTCCATTGTGACTTGGCAGTCACGGGTTCGAAACAAGGGAACAGCCTCTCCGCATGCGGAGGTAAGGCTGCGTATGTCTAATCCTTCCCAGCCCCTGCAATGACGGGAGCCTTGTGCATTGGGTTTGCCTTTGCCATGTAGATGTGCTTAGGGGTGTTTTGCATGGCATTTTTGATATGTCAAAAGAAAAGCCTCAAACTAGTTTACTGGCAAAAGCTAGTTTTTTATATGTGAAGCAGTTTTTGTTGGAACCCCTTTCTTAAATTATCATTAGCAGCATCGTAGGGAAGCTGCTAAAGTGAAAAGTTTAGCTTGTACTTAAATGAAAAACATCACCAAATCAGAACTGGCCAAGCTGTAACAAGAAACAAACATTTAGCACATTAAATCTTAAATTCAACCATGCTTTTGATCCTGTCTAGGATGCTTTCTACGCCCTTGTTTCTGATTTCTTACTTTTTTTTGCCTTTAGTTTTGTATTCATTCAATTTAGCTCACGAATTGTAACAAACTACAGGAGCAGGACATTCCATTTCTAATCCAATCATTATTTTCTTTTATAACTGATATGATTGATCGCTATAGAGATATGAGGATTGACGTGGATCGCATGTCCTATGAGGTAATATCACTTCAGCCATTTTCTTTTCCAACACACTAATATAATCTAGTCTTCTTATCCTTCATCATTCACTAATGTTTGTGTCTCCCTGGCCGATATTAGGAGCTGTTGGCTTTGGAAGATCACATAGGGAATGTTGACACAGGATTGTCTGAAGAAACAATGACGAAATCCCTCAAACACTGTAAATACTTTTTACTCACAGAAGAGAATGCTGAGAAAGATTCTTGCAGTGTGTGCCAGGTACTTTTAAATCAATGAATTGAATATTTCTAGACATTCCTTGGAGAAAGTTATGCAACATACAAGTGAATGTTTGTTTGATGGCAGGAGGATTATGAAGAAGAGGATGATTTGGGAATACTGAATTGTGGCCATCGCTTCCACATGGAGTGTATTAAACGATGGCTAAGATGCAAAAATCTCTGCCCTGTATGTAAATCTACTGCTTTGTGTACAACAGACCACACATTGCCACAAATTTGTAGTCTGTAAGATTACCTAGATGAAGTTAAAACTTCATTTTTGGGAAGAAAGTTATTTTATCTGGTAAGTATAGTGAAGTTTTTCCTTTATTTCCTACTCTTGCTTTACATGATAATGCTAATATTTTCATCCTTAGTTTGTGCAGATTACTGTGGAAGTCAATTTGTTCATATATAAACATTATGAGAAAAGATACTTAGGAAGTTAGCCATTAGCAGCTGCAAATTTATAGAAGGATGATTGTCCCATCAAGTTTTGTTCTGGAACTGCCTATATGTACAGATCCAATCTTGAACTTTTTCTTCTGAAAGTATATTGATTTTTTTTCCCCAAAATTTTTGAAATCTACCAAACAAATATACCATTTTGTTTAATTCAGATATTTATATCAGCTAGACTTTGTTTTAATAGAGGTATATTGTTGCAACAACTTCAAAGTTCTTAAATGGAAACAAAAAATTTACAGCTCTGCATGTCTAAGATTATCATACAAAGGATACGAATATCAAGGATCAGTTGGAAATTTGGGGAATTTATATAGAAAGCATCGGGTTGAAGTTCCATGATTGAATCATCATGCACATTTGCCCTCCTGAATGTCCATTACTTGCTTGGAGCTTTTCTCAGAAGTTGATTAAACTCATAATCAACAATATAGATTGTGAAATTTGATCTAAAATCTTCAAATGTTGTATGGGTTATGCTATTTAGGTTTCCTCATCTATGGTGGAGCAAGTGGTTGTTCGTCAATCAGGTCAAAAAGCTCATTGCCAATCCCAAATCCAAGCATCTTGGCCATGTCACTTGTCTTCAATCTAGGCTTGGGAACATTATGTTGCTTCAACCAGGAGTATACAATAAAAACCTTCTTCATGATAAACAATTCAAGTGCCTCAGGGTTGAAAACTACACCCATTCTCATACTCATCTGCAACAAAAAAATTTAGAAGTTAGAGACATTTTTTGCATCCCCTCCCTCCCTATATGAATGTGTGTGAGCACACGCGTGTTGTACCTGGTGAGGAACCAACATGGCTGCATACCGAGCAAGCTCTCCAGCGCGCCAGTCCAACAGGACAGGGAGCCATGGATAGGTGGCATCAAGTCTAACAAACCAAAGTCTTATATCTGGAAATTCAGATAGTTCTCTAGTATCATATGGATCTTCTTTTGTGTAGTTAATGGTAAAGCCAATTGTGCGTTCAAGAAACTCCTTTGGCACGGCTAAAACAATATTATCATCCAGAAAGAAAAGTTATAAGCACAGTACATAGTTTACATGTATGTACTTAATAGTTTAATTTCTCCCAAGATGCTTACCAGACAAAGGTGAGGTAATTCCAGTAGCAGTGTGAAATGGGGCTAAGTCAAGGCGACGGATAGCATCATTATCAATAACTATTTCATACCGGCCTTCGGTTGGAGGCATTGGTGGTGGAGCTTTTGGTGAATCTGTCATTGACAAAGTTTGGAGTTAATTTTTAGCAAAACATGTCAATTCTAATAAGGTGCATTACTGAAATTCTATTAAGATATTGAGACTTGAGAATGATTGGAAGCATATTTGTATGACAGTAGCTTCTACTATATACAATAACTATTATCCGTGTTTTTCTTCTAAGTTTTTAATTGATATAGATTGCTTCACCATGTATGATTAAACTAGAACTATGGGGGCATCCAATCATAATTGAGGTTGTATTAACAATGCAGATATAATTCTTTAAAAATGAATGAAACGCTTACCATCTTCAGCATCATATAGAGAGAGGTCGTAATTCCCAGATGGATTGAATGCCACAGAAACTGTTACTTGTCCTCCTTGTCGGCTCAAGTTTGATGCAATAAAAGAAGCTGTTGAATCTGTACTTGGTTTGCAGGAAATCCATGGACTCAAAGAGGGAATAGTGTGTTTTAATGTAGAAGAAAGTGGGTATAGTGGTTTGATGGTAGCCATGGTTGTGGTGCTTAGAAGGTCTGAGTGTGTACTCTGAGTTTTGACAGTTGAGGTTGTTTTGCCTGTTTATTCAGTTTATCCCCTTTTCTTTGTGGCCTTGTGTTTAAAATGCTCATATCCATTTTGGGCTATGATAGCATGCTCCTCACACACATCACTCAAAATGCTTTTTCCAAGATAATTGGGTGGACCCACCATTTTTTTTTTTCTTTTTTTTTTTTTCACTTCAGTCAGGGTTCTGATCATAGATTGGTGCAATGAAATTTATGACAACTTAACTTTTGCATCAGGCTGAATTTTTTCTCCAATTTTGATGACAAGAATGTCTTTCAAGTTTTTGAATTACTGCTATGTACTTACCAGTGGGTGTCACTGTCTTAATAGTGCTGGGCAATGCCCGATAGTCGCATGTTCCAATGTTTTGAATTTTATTTTTTTGTATAGTCGGGACCAGCACTTGGGATGGGGTAAGCCGGATCGGCCTAGCAGCTTAAAAAAATCCAAACATATTGCCCATTGATCCCAGTCAATGGCTGCAAATTTCTTTGATTGGGTTGTCCTTCGATTGTGTTAGAAGTAGCAGAATTTCAGTCAGATTCGATCATTAAATTTTTTTTTATTTTTTAACCAAGGCAAACAAGAATATGAAGCAAACAAACTACATACAATGTAACCCATCAGCCCCAGCAAAAACCCGCCACAGGGCAGGTAAACCATAATACACTTGCGCTTCATTACGTGTATATATAATAACTAATGTTATGAGAATGGACGGCAAAAAAAAGAAAAAAAAGTTAGATAGAATAATTACAAGAGATGGATTCTTAAAAAAAGAAAAAACAAAAGAGAGCGCAAAAAGAGTTCATATACAAGATAGATTCTGAATTTTATATACGAATATATTTCTTTTTATTTATTTATTTATAAAAAATCCATTTATTCAAGAATAGTTATAAAAATAAAAAAATAAAACAAAAAAATACACATACATACATACATACATATATATATATATATATATATATTTAGAAAAAACAAAAAATGAAAGAATTTATTCACTCAAGAATAAGTGTAAGAAGAAATATATAAAAAATTCATCCATATCGTGTGAATGAATTATCTTATTTATATATATTTTTTTTTCAAAATTCATTTATATATATATATATATATTTATAATCTAGTTACATAAAACTAATTAGTAAAAATAGAGATTCAAGTAATTAATGTATTTAAAATTAACTAATTTTAATTAAGAATGTAAATGGATAATCGCTTGCGGATTGCATTTAGCATTCCGGATTAAATAATACCCTTCATGAAATTTACCGAGATTAAATAGACTGAATATATTTTTATTTGTGATATAAAGCGAATGAGTTAAAGAGGGAAAGGAGGGCAATAAGCATCTTCACAACCGGCGATGCTTAAGAAGAACAATATTGAATTGCGTAGCACATTGTCTGTCCACACAAATACAAATGAAGCAAAAACAAGAACGATTTTCTTTCCTTTTCATCTCCTTGTCAAAAATGCCTATATATGTGTGTTTGTATATGTATGTCCGCAGGAAGTACACAGAAAAAAGAGGGGTTGACAAATAGAAACCCCATTTGTTCCTCATCATAATCACCATCAAAGATACAAATATGGCGATTGCTTCTTCGTCTTCGCTTCGCCATCTTTGCCACGACCTTTTCCCCAAATACCCTTCTCTTTCTCACAATTCGCGGCATAAACCCTCTCTCCAATTCTCCTCTCGTGGGTTTTCGTCCAGAATTCGTGCAACCTCAGCTGTCGCTTTGGAACCGGTACTTTCTCTCTCTCTCTCTCTCTCTCTATATATATATATATATATATCTCTTAATACCTATATATATTTCGTTTCTGAGAAACTGTTGGAAAAGAGAAGAAAATTGAAATTCTTGGTACCAACTATAAGTAAAGCTAAATTTTCTCGGTAGACAAACGGCAGACTGGAATTCTGGAAATTAAATTTTAGTTATTTCCTTTAGCAGTCGCTGTTGATTAAAAACTGAATTTTTTGGATTGTTGTCCCATCTTTGTTTTCTCTTCAATACTTAAATGTGAACGACCATTATTGGATGAGTAATGCTACAAACAATGATCGGTATTCCCTATAATCCTTCATAATAACGATAAATTTTTTTACTACAGCACACGTCACAATCTTTCTTCTGTAATTTATGCGCAGTACTATTTAGGGGTTATTAATGATTTACTTTTTTAGGATTCAAGCATTCAACAGCAAGATACGGTTGAAGTTGACTTGTTTGCATGCCCAATATGCTATGAACCTTTAATAAGAAAAGGCCCTCCAGGTTTTACCTTGTAAGTTGGAAATTTAAACCACATACTAAAACATGCAGAGTGTTTAATATATTCCATGGCATATGCTTAGTGCTTGACTTAAAATCTACCCAACTATGCAGGCCGGCAATCTACAGGTCTGGTTTCAAATGTAAAAAATGCAACAAGTCATACTCCAGCAAAAACAACTATGTGGATCTCACTATTATTGCTGGAACAAAGAACTACGTTGAAGCTAAACCAGTTGGGACTGAGCTATTTCGGTATGAATACATTATTGTCCATTCATCTCAATGTATTAATTTGGTTTGAACCTAAAGTGTTGTAACACTCACAATTATGATACTTATTTTAAATGGTAGTCTGGGTAGTAGAGTATTTATTTTTAAATTCTTGGAAATTTGCAACAAGATGTCATTATTTGTGCCTGTGGACATTTATTATTATTATTTTTAATTTCATAGGCATTCTTGAAGCATGTGATATAGGCTCCTATCTTATATGACAATGTGTTACCTTTTTTTGTTTTTTTACATTTGTAGAAGAAAAAAATGTATATGAGGTTTCAATCCTTGATGCCCGCATCAACAGTGTAAGAGCCTATTTCATAATCAGAGTATTTATGAGTTAGGTTCATTTGATATTCCTATTAAAGCCAGAATTTTTTACTGACAGGCCTTCTGGAGAAATTGAAGGCGTATAAATATCAGTTATAATTGTGTCTTTGCTTGGTCTATATTTTTCTCTGTTGCTTAGTTATACACTTACACAGAATTCCTCCATGGGCTTAGTTGTGTAGCATTTATATATTCCTTTGTTAACTACCCATCTACTCTAAAAGCTTAAGCTGTTAGAGAGAGTGTAACTTAAATATATAAATCCTTCAACACGCCCCCCCTCGTGTGGCCTTCTTTTGGTCCAACACACGTTTTTCAATTTTTTAATTAGGGTGACGGTGAGGTTTGAATTCGAGACCTTTGGCTTTGATACCGTGTTAACTACCCATCTACTCTAAAAGCTTAAGCTGTTAGAGATGGTGTAACTTAAATATATAAATCCTTCAACATCCTTCATGTTTTTTTTTTTGGGTGGGGTTGGGTTGGAAGGGTGGCTGGGAATTTGATGGTACTGCCTTTTGAATGATGGGGAAATGGTTTTTTTAGTTTTTTGTACTTTTTATTTTTTTGGAGGCCATTTTCCATAGAATAGACTTGCAGTCGGCATCTTAATTCTTTTTAAGCTAATTATTTACTTTGTTGATTACAAATTATGCAGTTATTCAAAGAAGACTCCTTTTAGAGAAGAGTACAGGAGCTTGAATCTCATTATTCTTATAATGAAAAATACTAATTTGAAATGCATGCTAACAACATGATTGTATTAACTCATGCACCACCTAGAGTATTCATACGCTACAGTGGTTTGGAGATATTTTCTGGATCTTGTTTCTCTTGAATCGGTAGAGCCTTGTTGAGGACGCCAAATGATGATTTCCTTGCTGTATTTTGGTCTTAAGTTTTTTATTAATTGAATGATAAAACCATTATTTGGAATTGAAATTTTATATGAATATTCATATCATACGAGTAAATGCCTAATGTCTAATCTTTAGTGCTTTCATCTTCATTTCAGGAGTCCACTTGTTTCATTCTTGTATGAAAGAGGCTGGCGTCAAAATTTTAACCGTAGTGGTTTTCCTGGTCCCGATGAAGAGGTAAATTTTCCTTGGTTTGTCTTGTATAATGATGCACCTGTATAGTTGTATACTCTTTGGGGTCCATTCCATTCTTAAAAGATAAAACCAATGCGGAAATAGTGTTATCTCATATTGATTTGTTGAGTCTCCTTCTAATTATGCAAGAGAAAGGAAATCTCTCCTAAAAAGAAATAAATGACTGACAAACGCATTAAGAAATAATGCTGCACACTCTCGTTGTACAAGTATTCAAATGTAAGGAACTTACTCCACTAATGCACGTTCTGCGTTCATATACCAGTTTATGACTTACGAACAAGTGTTTGGTTTGCTGGACAAAGTTCCTGGAGTGCATTATGTCACTATCAAACCTCCAAACACTTTCTCTGGCAGGAGTGGAGGAGAAGGCCCTAGTTACAAAAGTTGGAGTTGGTCATTTCACTGACACTGCCCTTAAGATAGAGAAAGGCTTCCTGAGTAAGTTGAAAGAAGTATGCTGGATCAAGGTCATAATATAAAAGTCTTTCTCCTTTAAGGAGAGAGGCTTCCTGAATTATTCGAAAGAAGTGTACTGGAACTTCCTAAAAGACCACCCTTTCACTATGGGATTTGGAGTTTCCTAAAGAATTCTTGGGTTCATGAAATGCCTCTTCTAGAAGTGTCAAAAGTTTTGATTAGAGAGAGTTTTATGGTTGTCTCTTAACGTTCCCCCCAATAATGCTTCTTGGAATATGTCATGCATGTCGAACAGTTTTTGAATGTCTGCGGGCTTTGTGAAATTGAGGTATTTTTCTAAAATCCCGCTTCTTGTTCATCCGTCTTGTTATTAGAGTCAAAGTTAAATATTAAGGAACTGAAAAATATCTGTATCATTTTTGTTCTATACCTGTGTGGTATTCCTTACAAAGTTCCTAGTCAAGTGACTTCGGTTACCAGAGCCTAGAGCAATAGCATGGCAGAGGCACTCTTAAAAATACTACCGGGTTTGCAGCATTTATTTACTTGCATATTACCGTGCATGTAGAAAATGCATGTATCTTTCTACTTGTAGGCTTATCTGACATGTTAAACAAAATATCTTGTTTGATGGTTGCAAGTGACATCTTATTTGATCTTGGGTTCAACCCTCCCAGAAGATTTCATATTCTTTCTGTCTACAAAACACAGTTGGTTTCCAAATGAAATCATTACTTGAACTAGTATTTGCATGCAGTTTAAAATGGCTCAGGAGTACTTCAAACCAGCAGAAGGTGGCGTTCTAGTAGATGTTAGCTGTGGGAGTGGTTTGTTCACCCGAAAATTTGCCACGTCTGGGACCTATTCAAGAGTCGTTGCACTTGACTTCTCTGAAAGTATGCTTCGCCAATGTTATGATTTCATAAAAAATGATGATACAATTTTAACCACGTAAGTTCTCTTCTTTCCTTCATCAATGCTCATCATATAAGCCAGACATCAATGGTTTATCTTTTTGACATCCTTTCTGGGGTGTAATTCTTGTATAAGAGATGGCTTTCCTGAGCGATGTTATATTGGAAAATTTGTAGTAATCTTGCTCTTGTGAGGGCAGATGTGTCAAGGCTTCCTTTCTCGTCAGGTTCAATTGATGCTGTTCATGCTGGTGCAGCCTTGCATTGCTGGCCATCTCCTTCCAATGCAGTAAGCTCTATTACTTTCCCAGATTCTGTTCTGCAAAATTTTAGTCAGTTGTCTTTCCTGAGATTGTTAGATTTTTTGCCTCTAACCCTGTAATCCAGCCTCCCCTTTCTTTAAATATGTCCTGTAACTTGGGTTTCTGATGAGCATAGTTGTAGAAAATTTCCTCCAACCTTAAATGACAGATCAGATGGTACAAAATATGACGCATAATTGGCATAATGACGGGCAGAGCCTAACCTGATTAATCACATTGAATTTTTTCTGCAAGTAACCACATTATTTGCTCATACATCTCAGATTGCTGAAATAAACCGTATATTGCGAAGTGGTGGTATCTTTGTTGGAACTACTTTTCTTCGTGTCAGTGCATCCACTCCTGCAATTTTAAGGCCCTTCAGACAGGTGATACTCCTCATTCTATGATCTTTGCACTTTTATGGTAACATTCTCACCCTTTGAACAAGCCCTTCTCTAGGTGGATAATCACTTCTTTTATAGGATATTCTTCATAAACTGGCCAATTGTGCTCATCATTTAAGATCAGCTTTCTCTGATTAATTTTTACTGCCCAGCCTGATAATATTTTCCAATTTATTAAGCTATATGGCAGACAATTACAAAGTGATGGTTGTCTTTAATTTTAGACAACTCTAAAACATACACAATGTCTTTTTTTTTTTTTTTTTTTTTTGGTGGTCCAACCAAGTGTCCTTTAGATTCGTGGCTACAATTAAAACTCCAGATATCTGCAATCGCCCTCAAACCATAGATATTGCTTAAACAAGGACTTGAAAGTAACCGAACAACACTGACATGTTAAGAACAATGTTATCTACCGCAAATCTTTTTTTATTTTTTTATGTGTTTCTGTTGATGGGCAGTAGCAGGAATAGGTAGAATATGTCGAGTATTTGGTAGGGAAATTGAAATTTTCTTGTACATTGGGGCGGTCTGTCAATATGGCCATGATACTAACTATGGATGTAACAACCCACTTCACCACATGGTATGATATTGTCCATTTAGGGCCCGAGCCTGCACAGTTTTGCTCTTGGTCTTTATTCCAAAAGGTCTTGTACCAATTGAAGTGACACACCTACATATATAATACTTTTCCTTTCCACATCCAGGCGATGTGGGATTGTGCACCTGTAACTCACCCGGTGTGGTAGCTTCCCAGTGCTTCACACCCGCCCCACGGGACACTCGCCTACAAGGTCGCCACAATTACCCCCTTGAAGCCCAACGTCCTCGTTGGCGGCACTTTTGGCTGAGTCAGGCTCTGATACCATTTGTAACGACCCACTCCACCGTATGGTGTAATATTGTTTGATTTGGGCCCGAGCCCATATGGTTTTGCTCTTGAGTTTTACCCCAAAAGGTCCCATACCAATTGGAGTGGCACACCTACATATATAACATTTTCTCTTTCCACACCTAGGCGATGTGGGATTGTGCACCCGTATCTCGCCTAGTGTGGTAGCCTGTCAATATCTCGCATCCGCACACCAGCCCACAAGATCACCGCAATCACCCCCCTCCCCCCCCCCGGCGGGGCTCAACGTCCTCGTTGGCCACACTTCTGGATGGGTCAGGTTCTGATACCATTTGTAACGACCCATCCCACCACGTAGTATGATATTATCCGCTTTGGGCCCGAGCCCGCACGATTTTGCTCTTGGACTTTACCCCAAAAGGTCTCATACTAATTGGAGTGATACACCTACATATATAACACTTCCCCTTTCCACACGCAGACGATAATGTGATTGTGCACATGTAGCTTGCCTAGTGTGGTAGCTTGCCAGTGCTTCGCACCCGTCCACAAGGTTGCCACAATGGATTTTACAGAGAACTTAAAATGTAGATATTGCTATTTTTTAGGATGGTTTAGATAATGAAATTAAACTGTTTTGGGTTTTCTGAGTATGAGAGAATAGTGAATGGATTTATAACTAGGATAGGGTTAGAACAGATGAGGGTTTTGTACCATTGATTTCCCGTTTAAGATATTAGGTGGTTAAAAATTTTCTAATATAATTTCTTTAGGGTTTAGGGTGTTTAAATTAATGGGGGTTCGCGTGTAGAAGTGTGAAAAAGAGAGGAGATTGAAGAGTAGGTTGGGATTTGAATAGTGATCAGAAAAGTGCAGATGCTTTTGGAAAGTTTTCCTTGCCACTAGAGAATTCTGTGGATTGTGGCAAATATTTTTATCTGTGAATCCATTCCTGAGAGTACCACAGAACATATTTGGAGACCTCCACCCAACGAAACCCTTCTTTTGAATGATTCATGGGCAACCAACGCTGCATATCGTACTGAATCTGAAATAGGGAAAGATAAAGACAGAAAGAAAGAAAGAAAAGGTTCAAAACCAACCAGAAGTGTCATCTTCCAAAAAACACTTATAAAAAAAATAATAATAATAAAAAAAAAAAACCTTGATTTCAAGTTTCAACCTGCTTGACCATGTAAGGTTCCAAGTAGACTTGAAATGGAGCGGGTTCGACCCGAAATTCAATTGTTCAAATTCAATTTTAACCGGATTGGATCTTGATTTTGAATCCTTATTAAAAAACGAGTTGGACATGAATCTTCCTTTAAGCTCATGTCAGATTAGGGTTGAATCTGGATAATTTTTACATGAGTCAGATTTTACCTGAAATCTGATCCAAATCATGGATCTTATTTAAATTATATGGGTCGATATGAATCATGTCCGTAGAATCCGATTCATAATCGGATGTGAATCGGAACCTGAATTCACATGAATCTGCTAGATTTCAAGCCCTAGTTCCTAACTGGCAGCACATGCAATCTTAGGTGCCATACTATGTTGTGCAATCATGGGGTGACGTCTATCATATGCAATCAGTTTGGTCTAAAGTTTGTTACCATTGGTTTGCAGAGGATACTGCAGAACTATAACTATTTGAACGAGGAGGAGATCAAGGACTTGTGCACGTCATGTGGTCTCATTAACTACACAAGTAAAGTTCAGCAATCCTTCATTATGTTTTCAGCAGAAAAGCCCTAAGACTGGTTCAATTCATTATGCTTATCATTTTCTCCATACCAAGCTTTGTCTTATTCCTTGTTGATTTTGTTGTATTGTGTGTTTCATTATTGTTCTTGCAAATGTACAGAACCTGAACAGATAAACCTCTGACAGATGTAAAAGTAATAAAATATTATCTATATATTTTCCTAGTTGGTACTCACATCCCTCACATACCCATACTAAATGCCTGATTCATACAAATGGATTGTAACTATCATTTGAAGATTTATGAATGGTTAGGCAATGACAGGAGAACAGCCATTCAAATGGTAAGTTTGGTTGTTGATGGAGGGGTGGTATTGAGGCATTTAGGATTGATAATTACTATTATGCTCTTCTAAATTTGTAGTTATTCTTTTGTTAGTTGAGTTGTTATTAGTTATCTTGTTCAAATCACGAGCAATTGCAGTAATCTGCAAGCTTCAATCTGCCTGGTAGTAACATTTTATTTTTTCCAGAAATTTTAACGTACTCATGTTGCTCTATATATCAGCTGTTTTTTAGGTGAGATCAATTTGTAACCCATTTTGCTTATTGTTTCCATTCTCCTCTTCCAAACCAAACACTTGACTCCACCTTCATCATCATCACCCTCTTTCTTTATGAAAGAAAGATCAACTGCCACCTCCGCCATCTAAACCATTTCCAGTTTCCACCTATTCTTTCTCTATAACAGCTCCGACCACCTTCATGGACTAAACACTTCTCTACCATCACTACTACTCTCTCTTCACAACAAAACCCATTGCATCAAATTATTAAGGTAACGAGAAAGTCCTACAACTAATCCGTCACTGGAGGGGGTTTCAATTGAAACAGTGTTTCAAGAATAGGGATTGAAGTGTAGCAACCGAAACCATGTATAGTATAAAACCTTTAAGTTAAGTGATGTTCTCTGCCAACACACACACACACATCACGTGATAATCCTTAGAAAATTGATATGGGACAAGTAAATATACGAGCCCATGTGGAGAGTGGAGAATGGTTCTGCCAATATATATATTTATATATATAAGTATATTGAACAGAGCAAAGTGGGTTTCAGTTTTTCTAGTGTTTGGCAGTGGACACAGAGATCTCCCCTCGTGCGGCTCACACGCTGTTGCCTTCTGTTTGTTCTTCTTCCCCTTTCCCTTTTCTTTTTCTTACCTCCACCTCCCATCCTCCTGTTCTGCACCATTGACCTTTGACCACACTACCAAAACCACTCGACATTTATATATATATATATATATAAATGTATATGTATACAAAAACTTTTGACATGGAAAGAGAAGGAATATTTGGCCAGTCTTAGACTTAAAAAAGGGTTTGGACAAATTGGATTCATACCTGAAAAGAGTCAGTCCTATTGGATCCCTTGCACGTGAGGTTTATGCTTTCATTGAGTCATCCTGTTTTTTGTAACACCCTGTTTGTCAATTCAATTGTAGTTGCCAATCCCTTTTTTTTTCTCCCTAGGTTAGCATTCTTTTTTCATTTTTTTAATTTTAATTTTTTTAAAGGAGATTTAGCTTATTTATAATTAATATGTACATATCGGTGATCACGATCGAGCAGCTTCACCTCTGAGTAATTTTTATTTTTATTTTTTTATTAAATAAATTAGTTATACACACCCACAAATGTCCACTATGAAACTCAGAATTCTTGTACTACAGTTTTAGTTGAGGCATATATAGAAATGCACGAGAAGTCCCATTATAAGACGTAAAATATGGGAGTCTTGTAGTAGGATGATTTCATATATGAAAATATCACACTTGGATGTAATTCTCACATCATATATTCCTAATTATGTAATATTTCAATGTTGCTTGAAAATGAAATGAAATGATGTACATTATTGATTTCCATTTTGATCTTCTAGATTTAATAATCATAAGAGGAGTAGACTATCCTTCCATGTTTTGGATTATTCTACCCATAATTAGTGGTAATAATAAAAGTGCACTCGCATACAAGATAAGATCTATGATGGTGCTTAACTATTGAGTAAGAGACAAACCTTTAAAGTCCTCTTTGACAATATTATATCAACTCTTTAACAAAATGTCATATTTATGTAAAAAAAACAACACTTCTGTTACTACAGTTATTGATTTACCATTATACTTTTTACTTTTTATTTTATATTTCAGTTAATTTGATACAGAGGCCTTAATTTCATTGACATTCCACTTCCTTTTGATTCTCAAGCTCACTTTAAAATCAAATCTCTGTTAATGTAGGTTAGCTATATATGCATCCAGATAAATAATTCACCTTGCCGTGCCGAATCAATACAAATGAAAATTTTGAAGAACAAACAATATATGTTTAATGATTAGAGATGTTATTATTACAATTCTTATTTTTTGGATTTTGAATAAGATGGTTCGCTTACGATGAGAATGTCCTCGTGATACCTTTTTCATTTGAATTATGATTAGGGACTCTGATTCGTGTGTTAGCACATCCATAGAACTAGCTCTTTTAAGAAGATATTTATTTGGAACAACAAAGTTTACAATGTTGACTTCAATGTTTTCTGAATTTATTGTGCTTCACACATACGAAATAACATTTGACTATGTAACCATTGTTATGAATTAGTTCAACTTTGCGACGTAGAAAGCTCTCTCACCAAGTGTTTAAAGTTTAAAGTAATGATAAAAAAATTAAACTTGAAATAAACACTTGTTTTTTGAGTGTACAAAAGAGATTTTATGACAATCTTTTAGGGCTTCAAACTCCAAGATTATCAGCTCTTCGTTAAAGGTTAGAGGTGCAACGAGCAAGGCCTCCTCAAAATTAGCGATAAGAAAGATTAATTAATAAGGTCATTAATTTCCCCAAGTAGTGCTTAATGAGTTGTGTTTTGTCTGTCAACGTCTGATGAAAAAAAAAAAAAAGACACTGGAATTATTGTTTAGGCATAGCACAGTTTTCATTAGTGGAGTGGTTGAATGTTGCCATGTTTGGTTGCCCAGAAACCGAGTTTCCTCGTACGTGTCTTCGCTTTTTATCAGTTTTAACTTTTAAACGATTTTGTGAAGCTACTAAAGCCCAAATAAAATGGAAAGATAGCAATGATCAACTTGTGTTGTCTTTTGTCTAGGCACAATGTTTCAAAGGCCAATTTTACTACCTCACTTGCTTTGCATCTGGTTAAACATTACCATCCGCTATTTATTGTAGGACCTGCATGTAGAGGTCGGTCCAGGCTTTCCTTGAGCCCCACATGTGATATATATATATATATATATATATATATTAAACATTAGAGAAATGACTACCCTTTGGGTAGGGACTATTCCTTCCAAATTTGACAAGTCCCAATGCCACGTATTAATTCTCACCTTATTATGATCAATAGGCTTTAAGCTTGTTCTGGGATTCCATCCCCATTTGATTACATGTAACTGATATTTCACAATAAAAAATGTTCATTGTGTGGCACCTATTTGAAAGACAATAGAGGGGCATGTGATCATGAATTCCGAGGAACGAATTTCACCACACATTTATTTTATTTTATTTTTTAAAAAAATTGGTGTCCTACTCTTTCTATTCTTTAATTTCCATCAAGACTCTTTAGTTATTACAACTGTAATCAATGATAATGATTTTTAGACTTAATAGTCTAACCGAAAAGACAAGTTTTTAAATTTCTATTCTTTTTATTACAAATTTTTATCAATGATAATAATTCTTAGACCTAATAGTAAGAATCAAATTTTATCTAAGTTATTTGTAATGAAATTTGTCTGGTGAACAAGCATGCAAGTATTTCACAAAGTAGAGAGTCATGACCGCATATGTATATATATATAAGTCAACCAATTAGATTAAAAACTGAGCTCACACAAACATTTAAATTGAACAATCATATGTTTCCCTCATCTCATAGTCCAAGACATGAGGGTAGCACCAGTTCATTTCACCAAGAAAGAAAGAGAAGAGCATCAAAAAGAAAATGTTTTTCCTAGCTAGGGCATGCAGCTCCTTCAAGAAGAGTCCAGTTTGTTTAGGGTTAAGAGCTCTTTAGCCAAGGAGATTACAACATTTGTTTAAACAGGGAGTAGGGTATGGGAGACACGGGAACAGCGCCCACGTTCTTCTCATATCTTACTCCTTTCTTTAATACTCTCTCTCTCTCTCTCTCTCTCTCTACACACACACACACACACACACACACACACACATCAAGCCTCCCTATTGACAAAATGTTAGTGTCTGTGAAGGAATAAATATATACCCTTTCCTCTCTTGTGACTCTCCATAAATACTCGTTATCTCTATATCCTATCAAACCCTCTCCTCTCTTTATCTCATCTCTTACACCACTGTCCCGAAAACTACTCATAGAAGGGACTCTCTGCTGTGTTTATGTGATCATGGTGAGTCTCTTCTCTCTCTCTCTCATATGGAGAATTCTCATTGCTTTGTTGGTTTACCTAACTTATTATGAATTAATGTTCTTTTGATGGTGCTTAATTAGGGAATTCAAAAGCCAGCATGGTTGGAAGCCCTCTACACACACAGGTTTTTTGTGCCCTGCCCAATTCACGAAATGGCTAAGAAGAATGAGAAGAATGTATGCTGTTTGGATTGTTGCACTAGTATTTGCCCACATTGTGTTCCATCTCATCGCTTCCATAGGCTTGTTCAAGTTCGGCGCTATGTCTATCACGATGTTGTTCGTTTGGAAGACCTCGAGAAGCTCATAGACTGCTCTAATGTTCAGGTTAATTATCCCAACCCAAAAAAAAAAAAAAAAAAAATGCTGATCGAATTTTGCATCTTCATATCTAGCTATAATTGAGTTGAATTATATATGGTTATCTAATTTAGGTCATAATTCTTTCAGCCCTATACCATCAATAGTGCCAAAGTGGTGTTTATCAAGAAGAGACCTCAAAACAGGCAGTTTAAGGGATCTGGAAACTACTGCACTTCTTGTGACAGAAGCCTTCAAGAGCCTTTTATCCATTGCTCTCTAGGCTGCAAGGTAACCTATATTTTACGCTCAATTGTGTACTTGCGTGCGTGTGTGCGTGCGTGTGTGTATAGCTAGATCACCAAGGAATGAATGTAAATGAAGTATGACACAAGCAATTATATATATTCCCTAGAGACTAAAAATTAACAAATAATAATAAATAAAAAAAAACTTCATAATTGAAATTAAATTGGTTAATTGCAGTCCAATACAAAAATTATGAATGATTTTGTTTTAGTAAAAATTAGACACTAAAAGGGTTGTATAATTTGTTGATGACTATCTCTTTATGAAAATATATTGATGCATTTTTTTTTTATTTATAAAAATAATAGGTTGAGTTTGTGTTAAAACACTACAAGGACCTCTCTCCCTTCTTAAGGACATGCAATAGTTTACAACTTGGTCCAGACTTCTTCATCCCTCAAGACATGACCGATGATGACATGACATACGAGACACCTCATTCGACAATTGTGGATTGGGACGAGGCAATGAGCTCGTCGTATTCAGGTTCATCAGGGTCGGAGAATACGAGCATGGTGTGCACAGATTTTGTTCGGAAGAAGAGAAGTGGGTTGTACGTGTGTGGAAGATTAGTTAATAAGGTTTCAGAAGAGGACATGGCCACAAGCATGAGTAGAAGAAAAGGCGTTCCTCATAGATCTCCTTTGTGTTAACAAAATTAATAAAAACATTTTAATTACCACTTGAGAGTTATTTTAAGATTTTGACTAGTGAGTCATGCAACAACCTCTCTGTCTGTCTCTCTCTCTCTCTCTCTCTCTCTCTCAGAGGTTTTTGCTTAATTAATTACTTGGTCGGAGGATTTTGTCTTAATGGCATCACGTGATTCTCAATTCCAAGTCATGGTTGTGTACATTTTTCGAAGAGTTTCATATTAGTGTATGGTTATTATTAATTCAAGTCTCTCATAAATCAGAGGGCTTTCTTGTTCTATTCATCAAAACTTTCTTTGCTCATCTTTCTACCATTCAATGGATTGCTGTATATACAAATAGATATATATATATATACATGTATATTCATCATGCATGTATACAAAATACAGATACAAGTGTTCAGAAGTGCGTAACATGTTTCTATACATTAATGTATAACTTAATTTTCTTCAATTCTTGAGAAAGAAAATTTTATGGAATTCATAACAATCCAACGAACAAAAACTTTGGTAAGCTAATATCACAATTATCCCTTCTGGACTCTGTAATGACGGGAACTGAACTTGCCTTATATATATATATATATATTTTATAACCTTTAAGTTTAATGTCCCATAGAATGATATTGTTCCATTGTTGTCACTTTTTTCATTTGATAGTTTACAATCAACATAATAAATTTAATTTAATCTAAGCTTCCTGGGACATTAAATGGGAAAAGAATGAGAACAAAATGAATAAAATAGATTTTGTTATAACGTTATGTTGACAATAAGACATAATTAGCTAGCTATATCATGAATCAAATTGCAGGATTTTCAAGTACAGCAATGGAGTTATAAAACAAACCGTAATTTCATAATGACATAATTAGGTCCTATTTGGTATACATATATACAAAAATGTCCAATAGCATGCAGAGATTATGCTTTCAGTGCATTTTTTTGCAAGTCATGATGTAAATATGGAATAGGTTAAAGATCAAGAAGGCACCCTATTTTTTTTTTTCCTGTTAGTATGTTGTTAGGTTCAAATTTTAATGAGAATATATAAAAAGAGATATTATTATTTTAAAAAAAAAATTAGCAAGGCAAAGATATTCTTTAATCACATAAGTGAAGTTAGGAAGAGTAAAAAAGAGGGTAGTAATTGTTTTTTTTAATGGCACACACTTTGTCAGCTTCTCATAATGGGTTCCAAAGAACCAATATTTTGAATGAAATCCTCAAACTTTGACTGATGGCAGACAGCACCGTCATTCCTTGGGAGGAGAGATATTTACAGCAAAACTCTTGACTGGTCAAACCATGCATCACACTTGCTATTGGTTACTGCTTAAAAGCAACCAAAAAAGTATCATCATCATCATGTTTCTACTTACTAATTTGTAAATTTTTTATTTGGTGTCAACTAATAATGTCTTAAACCTAGAGAAACCTAATTGTGGTAGGTTCTCAACCCCGTAACAGTAGGCCACGTGCAATGACACCGATCCATCTCTCATGTCCTGCCCATTCATTAAAATTTGAAATTTTATGGTTAGTCGGCTGAATCTAACCCATTTTTAAGAGTACAAAATGGTTACGCTTCTCTACGAATCGATGAATTCGACCATCCCATTTGTCCCATGTCGTTTTTAGAGAATAAAATTTTTTAAAAGGCACGTGAGATATGCTTTGTCTATTTAAAAAGTTACTAATTAGTTCTTTTAAGTGTTGAATATTCAATTTTGAAATTTTAAACTCTAGGAATATTTATGAAAAGATGCAAAATATATTATTTAAAAAAAAAAAGCGACAATTACTTTGAAATAAAAAAATATATATATATTATATTCTTTTTTGGAACAAAGAAAGTATTAATTAAATCTATTATATCAGAGTAGATAAATGTGATGTTTAATAAGATTCTGATTGATCAATCCTCCGTATTTAAATAAATATTCTTAAAAAATTGGTTGTCATATTTACTCAATAAGACTTTGCATATTCATAGTTTTTTTTTTTATATTTTTTTATGTGAATAAATTTGATTAATTTTATGTAGTTAAGTGGCATGTTGATCGGAACTAGACTGGCCCAAGCTAAATATTTCGAAAAAAACAAAATAGGCCAAGGCCTATGAAATTGCCCATTCAGTAAACCCCAAGCCTTATTCCATTTATTTCTTCACGGGTTTGGACCAAGCTCGGGCCACCTCATTATTTAGTTGATAACTTACCAAACATACCCCCAACTATGGGAAATATATTTAATACCCCGGTATGGATCAGTAATTATACTTTCAAGCCTTTATTAACAACAAAAAAACATATCATGACACAATCAATATTTTTGGATAAGTTAGAGATCATACACAATTGCACATAAATATTACTCCTTAAAGAATTTAATTGAACATGAATTGTTGCAATCTTTACCAGTTTTAGGGCAAACAACGGAGTCCAATTGTCCGTTACTCGATTTATGCACGTTTTAACAAGAAACTCCAAACACATAAATGTTCTATAATTCTTTATTTCTTCTTGCTACAAGTAACAGCTATCAATTGTTTTGTATAGGATGTCTGACTTTACTGAAATACCCTTCAAGAATAAATTATTAAAATGTGAAAGGAAAATTGTTTTTCTATTTTTTATTTTATTTTATTTGGTATATTATATATATTTTTCACTAATCACGATTTCGATAAATGTTGTTGATGAACATTTAATCTCATGGTGTCTGAGAAGGTATGAGCTCTCCTCTTAAAAGGTGAGTTTTTTTTTTAAAATTTTTATTTATTTATTTATTTTTTTGAATTTCTGAAAAAAATAAATAACTTTGGAGTTTTATGATATATGTTCTTGAAGGTTATTTTGGTAATTACACCTATAACTACTCGGCTAATCTCAAAAATTGAAAACCTCCAAGGACAGGTTGGCTTCTAAAAAATGGTAGGTAGTTTGCAAAACTGAAAAATCTTACAAGGGCATTTTCGTAAAATTAGAAACGAGTACCAACAAGGTGGTGTAAAAATCCCGAATCAAGCTCATTCCAAACCGCAAAGATAGAATTCCATACATTTATAGATATATATCTGCTCAAAAATAGTGTTCATATACAAATACTAAACTCTCTCTCTTTGAAACCTTATTTTTCTCTCTCTGAAATCTAGAGGAAAATGAGGGAGAGGACAAGAATCATGTTCCGTTTGAGATGTAACCCATTGTTTCTTGTCCTCCTCCTCTCTATCTTCATCTCTTCAAACTTTTGCATCTGTGATGGAACTATTATCGATCATCTTCACCAATCCGAACAGACACGCATTCCAGGTATATATTATTAGTTACATGCTAATATATATATATATATACACACATTTGTACATGCATGCATGTACAAATGTGTATATTTCTCTTACGGGTTTATAATCCTGTATGAATTCACAGATACGTAGGTTTATTTTTGTGACATGCAGAGGTTATTGATGGTAGAGAATTTAATGGGAAGGTGGATGAATGGAATGAGAGGAGGAGGTCTGTGGCTGAAACTCCAGAAAAAAGCAGCAGCAGCTCCAATGTTTTGATATTGGCGGCGAATAGAACGCACAGAAGATGCCCCATTGCTGGCTTTAGGTACTACAATGATGGCTGGAATCTCACAAACAAGCATTACTTGTTTGTAAGTATATATATCTTCCAACATTCATCATTTCTCTTGTATATCTAGCTCCGTCCATATTTCTTTAATTTAGAAGTGCATGTTAAACGATATAATTAGACACTTATGTTACACCCCTATTTAGTCTTTTTAGGAGCATATATATATGATAATTAACATTGTAACAAAAGAAGAAAAAGTTTGTTGAGGTTAACCCATTAGGTACAGTGACACTTCCCATATTAGTCTCGGCCTAGATTCTTCTTTACCAACAGATGTGAGAATCGTTCTACTACCCAACAAGGTTTCATATCAAAAGGTCATCCAAGTAATTAATACACGTTTTGTTGGTGTGTTGTGGTATTTTATATATTCAAAATTTTAACTCTACTGAAGTTGTATTGAAAAATCATTTAATCATTCATAAATAGGAGAAATTCTATGATATCCGAAGTATTTTGATAAGTGGTACCCCTCCCAAACAAAACTCTACGTTTTCTTTGGTAAATAGAGAAGGAGAGAGTTTCAAAATAAACAAAGAGCTTTGATTGTGAGAGGTAGTAAGGTATTGCAGAATTTCTCCCATAAACAGAATTAATATAGAGACACATAGTCCACAGACCACCAGCATGTTCACATATGCACAATTACTGTCTTTGTTGCTTTATTGCAGTCAGTGGCATACTCTGCGGCTGGGCCCTTCTTGCTCGCGGCAGTTTGGTTTGTTGTGTTTGGGATAATATTACTATGCATGTGTTTGCGTCGGTGTTGCTGTTGTGTTGGAAAGTCTATTGGCTATTCTAAAGCCGCCTATGCTCTCTCCCTTACCTTTCTCATACTATTCACCATTGGTGCAATGTAAGTGTATATGTGTGTGTGTGTGTGTTTTAATTAGTTATAAAATGTTTGTTAGATTATTGTTGATTTTGTGACTTAATTTTCAGAGCCGGAGCAGTATTTTTATATTCTGGGCAACAGGAATTTCACAGTAGCATAGTTAGAGTTCTAAGCTTTATACTGTACCAGGCAGATTTTGTAATTGAGAACATCCAGAATGTGTTCAATTATCTTCTATCTGCTAAGCTTGCTTTACCTGGAGATTTTCAGCTCCAAATCGATGCTATTCAACAACCAATTAATTTTGTTGCCAACCAACTTCGAAATGCAACTAGGCAGACTGAAAGAGAAATACGAAATTTCTTAGATCCCAAGTAATTCTTTCTTCTTTTTTTTTTTTTTTCGCCTTTTCAATCTTTAATTAATTCCTTTAATTTAGTTGCTAAATTATTTGTTTCAATGCATTGCAGTCGCTTCTACCTAATTTCCATCTCAGCTTCTTTGCTCACTTTGGCATTTCTTGGCTTCTGTAAGTATACTATTAGTACTCTTATCTTCATTTAATTATGTTTATGTAACTTTATATTATGTTTTCATTAGTTAATTTCTTTATTTCTGGTTGCAGTGTTTTCTGTTCTTGGATTTCCTTGTCTTGTATACATGTAAGTGTTACATAACTCATGCAATACATATTGCTTTTTGGGTCATTGTGGTTTTATTAACAAATTGTTGTAAGTGTTATATATTATTGATAATTAACTACAGGTTAGGGATTATCGGGTGGATTGTTCTGGTGTTTACGTTTATTCTGACCGGAATGTCTCTCCTTATTCACAAGTAAGTATGGTCATATTTTTCTCTAACTATTCATATGAATATATAATTAAACACTCTCTCCTTTAGCTTCTTCTTAGTACTGTTCTATTCAACCTAACTGTTAAGTAATTTCCAAGCTCTATTTCTATTTATTATCAACCTTTGTGACAGTAATGTTTAGCATAATTGTTTTCATTTTCAGTTTTATATTCAATATATGAAGATATGGAATAAACCTTCATAAACATACCATTAGCTTTCTTTTTACTCCGCCATGGCCCATATAGATATTTCATACATTGATTGTGTACTTGTACAGAAGGTAAAAAAGTTTTGAATTATAGAACTTTTAACTAATTTAATAATCAATGCCTTATAATTAAAAAAATTACAGACCCTCTAATTTCCAATATGTGTGAATTCAAAACATTTGGCAATGTGCCATTTATATATAGGGGAGTAGATTGGTAGAAATTTTAGTGAAAATGGCTCACGTCAAATTGTTGCAAAGGTGTTAATTAGAAAAGAAAATTTAGTTCAAAATTTTTATTAAATTTTTTTCAATTCAAATTTTATTAGGCTAATTCAATACTTCAAAATACAATATTATTGAATATATAGTTTTGAGGTTTCTTCTATGCTTCTAACGAAAAAATGAGCATACAAAGCTATTAAGACTATCTCAGCAAACAAGGCCCGACAGATAAAAGGTGGACGGAGGCTGGCAAAGAATCCGGCCCAAACGGCAAGAGAGCTTCCTAACCGCCCTCCCTGAGCCCAAACCATTGTAGAAAAGCCTAACACAGATATAAAAAACAACCAAATCTACCCATTTATACTGAGGAAAATAGTCTAAAATAGAGTTGCAACTCGGATGGATTTGGTGGTTGGAGGTACACTTCGAATTCAACCCAATATATGATATATTCAATTTAACTCAATCCTAATTTTATTTTGAATCCTAATTACTTAACTTGAGTTCAACCTATTCTTTTATTTTTAAACTTCTATTTGCAATAAAATTTAAAGGTGTCCTAAAATTAGTTTAAAACTTATTATAAAATTTTAATAAATACAAACAAATTCATAAAAAAAAATAATTATACAAAGTTTTAACATACAATTAATAACCCAACGTTTTTGTTGATTACTTAATAATAGTGCGGTTGGGGACACATGCGTAGCATTGGAAGAGTGGGTTCAGAACCCAAAAGCCAGTTCAGCTCTGGAACACGTACTCCCCAAAGTAGACGATGAAACATCCCAAAAGATATATTCACTGTCCAAAGGTTCCACGGTGGGACTTGTGAAAGTGCTTAATGTCGACATTGTCGCCAATGTCAACATTGACCCCAGCCCTGGATCTCCTCAGTATTACAATCAATCCGGTCCAATGTTGCCTCTTCTTTGCAACCCATACAATCCCGACGATCTCACCGATCGGAAATGTGAAGCTGGTGAAGTGGCGCTTCCAAATGCAACCGAGGTACGTATATATATACATGTCTCGATACAGATTTACATGCAATTTTACTCGAGTGCCTTCTAACTAACCTATAAGCGTTTGATTGTATAGTCAAGTGTTTTCATGCATGTAAATTTACAAAACATGACTCTCTGATAGAGTACAGTTTTAGTACCACAGTGCACTTATATATACTATATATATATAACCAAATGATTACTCACGGTACTATACAAAAAATATATATATATATATATATATATATATATATATAATCTTTCCAAAAAGTATGATTTTTTTTTTTTTTACACTTTCTCAAAATATTATATTTTTTCTCACTTTTTCTAAAAATACAAAATATTCTTTTACACTTTTGACTTTACCACAAACAAAACAAATGCTTTATTTCCATCACATTTTCAGTCTTCAACATTTTTCTTTGGGCAAGTCTTTAACATTTCAAAAATTGACAAAATCCAAACAAATACCGTAGTACGGAGACAGGTAATCTGATATATATATATATTTTATCATCATCTAAATTTACGATTATTATGTCATGAATATTTTAAAAAATATGATGGTTGTGTATATTGAGAAAGACATATTTAATACTATTGACAATGATATTATTTACTTTCAGAATATAAAAACTGAATAAAAATATTATGAATTAATGTTTTAATTTTTACATATATTATTTTGGTTCAAAATATATATATTATTGCTATTAAAAATTGCACTCTGAAGGAAATTATTGGGTAGGCCATTGTTGATAAGTCATGTTTGGGTCTCTTCCATCATTTCAATAATTTTTGAATGAAGTAACAAAAATAGAGATGACACTTGCTTTGAATGATTTATTTGTTTATGATGCAGGTGTGGAAGAACTATATCTGTAAGGTTTCATCGTCTGGGATTTGTGTAACGCCGGGAAGACTCACTCAAGATCGGTATTCGCAGATGGCAGGACCCGTCAACGCGAGCTATCATCTGTATCATTACACTCCATTCCTCATTGATTTAATAGACTCCAATTTTGTGAAGGTAACATTTGCTCGTATCAGCAAAGAAAACTGTCCGGATTTGGTTAAATACAGTAGATGGACTTACGTTGGATTCAACACTTCCTCTGTTTGTGTAATGATGTCAATGTTCTTGTGGGTGATCTACGCCAGAGAGCGAAGGCATCGCAAATACACCAAGAAACAATTGAGCAAGGCCCCCCCTGCAGCCCATCTTCATAGTTCAAGAGATCCATGATACACTTTTTCCCAATTTCTTTCTCCTAACTATTCCCATTCTACTAATTATTTGATGTATAACTCAGTAACATATATATATTCTCTCTCTCTTTCCTTTTTTATTTTTTTTATTTTTTTATATTTTTTAGCTTCAGGTCCACAATACTTTAGACCTGATTCTGATGTATTTTATAGTTAACTCTAATTAGAAATTATTCTTAGAGGAAGTACTAATTTTGTATAGTATCTCAAGGAGATTTCTAACAGCCTTGTGTAGTGGAATTATGTGTGTATGTATGTATGTGTGCATATATATATATATATATACACACACACATACACGAAACAAGGAATAGACAGACGGTTTAAACTTAAATTATGTATTGAAGTCTGAAAATCAAACAATTATAATAATTTATATGAATGGAGTGTCCTCGTAGTGGCATTAATATTTTTTAACTCATAAAATTAACCAAATTTATTCTACTGTTAGATTTTTTTTTTTTTTTTCCTTGTCCATTTTGATAGTAATGGTTTTTGATTCATAAATGAAGAGATAGAGTGTGAAACCTACCAATATATGGGTTCCAGATGGAGTTTCCATGTTTGACCCAAGTCATGTGATGAGTGATCCTAATCATATACTATCATAATATAATTTTGGTTATGTATTAAGAACATTAATTTGGACACCTTTACATTGTCATATGGCACCTTGTGGACTAACAGATAAAATGCTCCATCATAAGTCAACATCAAAGAAGGTCGATCAACTGAAGCTAAACGGCCAAACAACTATCCCAACAAAAACTTGACACTTGCGATTCTTTGAGTGAAAGAATATAAAGTGTGATTTACACGTCAACACGGTTCATTAATAGATTATAGTAAAAGACAATCTTGAGTACATAGTTTTGTGTAGAGGTGGTCCGTATGTGAAGAAGACCATGATCAAAATTTTGTACCACTTTAATATCTACTTCTACATATCTAATGTCACGGAGGTCGGTACAACGTCATTGTCATCTTCAATTTGGATCTAAATTTCTCACCACCTGTGTCCCTTGATTTGTTACACGGTCAAATATTTTTTTTTATCAATCACGCCATAGCTAGTACAAATATATATTTTTTATTTTTAAAGTAATTAAAATAATTCATTCATGTGCTGTCTTACAAATTTGAACTCTTAATTTATCTTTAAAAAAATTAAAATCTGATACTAATGAATCAATGATGTGAAATTTCAATTTTAATCTCCTGACTATACGTCCATTCTTCTTTCTAGCCCATTGTATAAGCTTGGAACCCGAAAGCTGGGAAAGGATCCCTAAACTCCCCCAACAAAAATGGTGTCAAATGGTTTAGACCATGTCGCCAAAAACACATTAGCTTATTAAAATGTAGTCTTGGTCACGTTTTCGTACGGTTTCATCTAATTAATAAAAAAACCAATGCTTAATTGTCAAAGAGTTCATCTTGAATGGACTTGGGCAGATTCCAAGAAACTTCAAATACCAATTCATCAACATTTGTGGGGATTAAAACGGAAAGTGATGTTTTACATCAAGAGTTTAAGTACGTTTCCATCTTGTCTAGAAATTTAATTGATCAAGGTACAACAAGGGTAAAATTGTAAAATGGTGTAGAAGAATACCCCTATTTTGGTATCATATTACTTAGAAAACCACTTGATCACTACAAAGGCTACTAATGTAATTACATGTAAGAAGAAAAGAAAAGAAAAGAAAAGAAAAAAAATGCTATATAAGCCACAACACTTGACACCTAAAATTGGTTTGCTTAAAAAACAAGAGAACAATATGGTGGTTTGTTGATTGTTGAGTTTAAACTCTTCCATGGCTACTAGAAACGCAGCATCAAATTCAAAGGCCTCTGCACCAAATCGTACATGTTTGTGTTCTCCCACCACCCACCCGGGCTCGTTCAGGTGCAGTCTGCACAGGAATGTCCATAAGGTTCCTTTAAGATCAATGGCTCATGAGTCACGTAATCACTGGCAACTGTCGGCGATCGCGAAAGTGAATTCATTGAAGGCATTTCTCCTCCAAATCATCAAACCGTCGAGCCATGATCTTCAGAGGAGGAGAAACTTTCAGCCCAAGCCCACAAGGTTTTGTTTGATGAATGGCAGTACAAATGGTTTAGCAGTTTCTTGATCCATCATGGCCTTCTTATTTTGTTTTATAGCTCTTACTCTCAGACCCTTCTATTTTATTTTATTTTTCCCCCTCTTTTTTACCGTATTATCCTAGAGTTTGGGAGTGATATATGTACATATAAAGATGATTTGTAAATGAGATCGATCTTCTCATATGAGTTTGTGGAAAAGACAGAAAACTTCATGAGTATTGATGCAAAAGAAGTCCTTTTGAGTGGATTTTTTTTTTTGCTCTGTATATGGTTATTTTGAGATTCTACGTTTTTGTATAAAATAAGTATGATTTAAGAAATAAAAAAAAAAAAAGAATTATTATGGCTCATATTTATTATTTAATGGAAGCAAAGTCTCATAATTAAAAAAAACATAGAATTGACCAAAATATTACTAACATGAAAAATCACTGTTCATTCTCAAATAGGTACCACTTTTATACATATGGGTATCACTTTTTGTACACGCAAGTACCACTTTTTATGCATCAGGTACCATTTTTATTTTAGGCATAGAGGTACCACTTTTATTTACATAGGTACCACTTTTTGTGCATCAAGTACCATTTTTTTTTGTGCAGCAAAAAAAGTGGTACCTATGCCTAAATATGGTATCTATGTGAAGCTAATAGTGTTTTTTTATGTCTTCATTTTTTAGAAATTATGAAATTTTGACTCCATTAAATGATAAATATAGTTCATTGGTATCACTTATATGTAATAATTCCATAAAAAAAAGAAAAAAAAAAAGAAAAAAAAAAAAAGCCAACAAAATTAATTAGGGTTTTATTCAAAGTTGATGATTCTTTCTTTCAAATTATATTATCATGGGGGTTGAAATGGTGCGTGGTTAATTTTAACAAGTCAATATTTCATTTTAATTTCTTTGCCTCTGAGGCTCTGACAAGCCACATATTTATTGAAATAATGTCAACATTACTGAATAAGACCCAATTGCTTAGAAGTAGAAAATCAAAAGAAACGTATAAATACATTCTTGCTCACTTATCAAAATGTTTGCTTGTATATATTATGAATATCTCTGCATTATTTCTTTTTATTATTATAATTTTTCCTTAAAAAGGTCCTTTGAAATGAGTTAGGGCATAAAAAATCTTGAGACACAAAGTTTGGATATGTACTAATTAATGTACATAATACAGTATAATCTCTTCTCATGCGTTTTTTAAGTTTGATACAGTTAGATGCTTTGCAACAGATAAACACATTATTTGTACGTCTGTCTAATGACTTTAATTTTTACATGTTAATTGAGCTATTAAAACTCGTTGTTCATTATTTATGTGAACATCAAATGGCAAGCAATCGAAATCAATGGTTGAGATTTTATGTTATGGACTTGCCAAATTAAAGAAAACAAAATTGGTGGAAAAAAATTAAAATTGTTATGAAGTCCTACTTTTCCCTTTATAAGAAAAATAAATCCTATCAATTTCATTAAAAAAACATTAAGTTTAATTTACTCTTGCAATTCTTTTTAGTTATTTATTTTTTAATCTATTTTGGTTAGGTATAAATGAAAGTTTGAGTGGTGTACAACTTTAATGAAATGTTTTAAATTAAAGCATGGCTTTATTAGCCTCATTAAAATTAATAGGATTCTTTTAATGGAAAAAGTAGGACTTAGTGCAAATTTTATCTAAATTTTAAATTTTGAAGAATGAAGGATTCATAAATGAATGTACTATATACATAAATACTATATAAATGTGTGTGTGTGTGTGTTTGTCAGTGTGAGCGATTATTACTCCGTATATACCGCAGCTTAAAGGATCTCTTTCATATTAGTGGGGTAAATGCAGCCTTTTTGTAGCAAATATAAGCCCTAAACGAGTTTGCGACTTTGTGTGTATATATATACATGTATATATGTTATATATGTGAGGAGAAAAATCATTAGTCAAAATAATGTTATTATCAATCATTCCTGTTTCGATCATCTTCATAAATAATAATGATAAAATTGACAATACATATATATACAATTCATCCAATAATCACTCTGATCATGGAGCTAGGCTGTATTTGACATTGTCATCAAGAATGAACATCCATCAACGCATTTTACTACTTCAACCCCAAGAAATGTCTTTAGGTCAAATCTACACTAATCAATTAACAATTACAAATCAATGGTTGAAATCAAAAAGATCAGCTTGACCCTTGACCAGTTAGAAGTATCTGTTGTGAGTTATGGGCACTAAAGTCCCTAACCCATTGGTTTCCCCACCATGTGGGAGGAATATTACAACACATAAATATTATATATATATATATATATATGTATGTATATGTGACATAACTTTCAAAATTCAACCAAGACCATACTTTTGTTTGGAGATATGACATTGGCTTCGAGTGAGGACCACAAATACAAGTTGGTGATAGTGGCCGTTTGCGTGACGATCCAACCAGTCTTTTTAATGGAAACGAAAATGGGGTCACTTTAATGAGATGAGATATGTATTTGTTTGAAATATTTTTGATGAAAGAGAAAAGTCATTTTTGAGGCACAAAGATCGCTTCCCGCGTTTTTTGGTGAGGCCGTTTCTGACTTGTCTTCTCCCATTAATTTGTGTTTGTGCATTTATTCATATATTGTGAAACACAGTCAACACAACTGATTCAATTACCATAATCTTCAAATTAAATGAGAGGACTTTTGGGGGTGTATGTTCTAAGACCAGGGAAGGAACTAGTAATGGGCTAAATTGGGCTATAGCCCACCTCCAATAAAAATAAAAAATAAAGTAAATAGTACTATTGTTCCTATAAGTTCATAAATTATTCTTCCTCTTTCTATCAGCCTTTTATAAAATTTAC